GCAACCAACAATAGGACAAGGGGACATGGGCTCAAGCTCTGCCAGGGGAGGTTTAGGTTAGATGTTAGGAAGAAATTCTTTACAGAGAGGGTAATCAGGCATTGGAACAGCCTACCCAGAGAGGTGGTGGATTCACCATCCCTGGAGGTTTTTAAGCAGAGATTGGATGTGACCCTTAGTGCCATGATACAGTAATTGGAGTTGGATCAGGGGTTGGACTTGATGATCTTGGAGGTCTTTTCCAACCCAATCTATTCTATGATTCTATGATACTCGTGCACTGAATTGCTGGCAGTTCGAACTGACTGTGAAGCAAACCCTTTCCATTACAGCGCTCTTTACATCTTTATGTGCTGTCAGTCGGGACTGCCCTAGCGCGAGTAGGATGTGCAGGCTCAGGTGTTACAGGACAGCACAACAAAGGCTCACAAATAAGCATATCTGAAGGGCCGTGAAGTGCGAGGTGAACACTCTCTTCGCTGTACAACAGCTCGTGTTGATGTTCTCTCTGTGGCTGCGGAGCCGCGGGCGTTCCCCCGCACCACCCAGGGCTTCCATCGCCTGACTTACCAGGCTCCACGTCTCCTGAGACTCTCTTACCTCAGATTACTCCTCGCCGTCTGGAAAACGGCACAGGATTCCTCAGGGGCCGCTCCGCGAGGCTGAGGGAACCGCACTCGCACCGCCCCGCTCCGTGTGGGACGGACGGCGCCTCACGCTGCCCCGGCCCGGAACGTTGGGAGGCCGGAACCTTCGGGCCGCCTGGCGGGGAAAAGGCGCGGGGAAGGGAAAGGACAGGGGCGCGGCGGCGCCGCCATTGCGCAGGCCCCGTTCCCGTCCCTCTCCTGTCCCTGGCATTCCCGGCCGTTCCCGGCCGTTCCCGGCCATGTACCGCCCGGGTTTCCGCGCTCCCACGCCTCCTTACGCGGGCGGCGGCGGCGGCGGCGCCTTCCGGAGCCCCCCGTCCGGCGGGGGGCCCATGCCGCCCTCCCCGCGGGGCTACGGCAGCCCCCACCACACGCCGCCCTACGGGCCCCGGCCCGGCCCGTACGGCGGCGGCCTCTCCCCCCGCGGGCCCGGCTTCCAGGGGCGCTTCGGGAGCCCCTCGCCGGGGGCGCAGACCCCGCGCAGGTCGCAGGGCGGCAGCCCCCGGTACCCGGCCCCCTACG